GCGGGCCATCCTTCAATGAGTCGGCCATACCCCCGAACAACATCGGCAATGCTTCCGGTCAAGGGAGCTGGGGGACAGCGGCCGGCCATTCGTGATGGCCCAACAGCTCCGGGACGCTTGCCGCAAGTGGCTGTTGGCGGAGGAACGCAATGTCGAGGGAGTGGTCGATCTGGTAGTGCTGGAGCAGTTCATCGCTCGGCTACCCCGGGGGACGGCCGAGTAGGTCCAGTGCCACCGCCCGACGTCGCTGATACAGGCCATAGAGCTGGCTGAAGACGATCTGAGCGGCGTGCCATGGGGTCGGTGAGCCCCTTTCTAACCTTTCTCTCTCTTCCCCCTCACCTTCCCTCCCGTCTCTCTCTCTCGCCCTATTCCTACTCCCAGGTCGCGTAGTAACGCGCCCCCACGAACCCCACAGCAAGGTGGGGTCTTCCAGGAGAACAGACCGGGGACACGAGGGGGCATAGTGGAGAGCGCAGGAGCCGCCATTCCATCGTCACCTTTCTCCTCTCTCTTCCAATCTATTGGCCATTCTTCTGCCGCTGGGGTGGCGGGAAGGCCTGGGCCGGCCTGCTGGAGATGCGGGGGCCCGGGTCATTTTCTGGACCGGTGTCCAATGATGGAGGTGGGAGCGTTGATCCGGGTCCCCGACTCCCCGGCGCCTGCCCCCGATCAAGCCGGTCTGTACCAAATACCTGTGAGTATCAAGGGGGGTACATATCAGGCTTTGGTAGCTTCAGGCTGTAACCAAACCTCCATTCATCAAAGCCTGATGCAACAAAGAGCGTTGGATACGAGCCGCAAGGTTAAGGTGAGGTGTGTGCACGGGGATGTGGTGGACTACCCTTTAGTGGCTGTTAGTATTTGATTTCAGGGGAAAACGCATAGAATGAAGGTGGCGGTTAACTCCCACCTTAGGCATCTGCTGATTTTGGGGACAGTTTGGCCAGCTTTTACGCAATTATTGGGGGTTTTGTGTGCGGATGCTTCTTGGGAGACAGGGTTGGGAAACGGAGAAGCGGTGGCGCAGGTTGGAGATGCGGTTTTGGGACCTTCACAGGCTGACTCAGAGGAAACAAGAGTGAGAGCGGAGCTTATGTCCTCTGAGCTGAATGACTTTCCACTGGAGCTTTCTCATCTCGTGATGAGAAGTTAAAAATGCGTATGACCGGGTCCACACCATCAACGGACAGCTTCTCCAGCCTGACCAAACACTCTCTTATCCTTATTTTTCCCTTATAAAAGATAGGTTGTATCAGGTGACCCAAGATACCCAGACAAAAAGAGATACAACCCAGTTATTAGTCCCAAAAAGCTGTCGGGAAATGCTTTTCCAGGTGGCTCATAGTAGTCCCATGGCAGGCCACTTGGGGGAAGCAAAGACACGTGAACGACTTATGGCCCGATTCTTTTGGCTGGGCATTCACGAGAACATCCGCCGGTGGTGTGCGGTTTGTCGTGAATGTCAGCTGGTAAATCCTCTGGCCAGTTCTAAAGCGCCATTGCATCCATTACCACTGATAGAGGTCCCCTTCGAGAGAATTGGTATGGACCTCATCGGGCCATTAGAATATTCAGCACGCAGACATAATTTTGCATTAGTTCTGGTGGATTATGCAACACGATACCCGGAAGCAGTGCAGCTGCGCACCATCTCTGCAACGAGTGTGGTGGACGTTTCGAGTCATCTCCCGAGTGGGGATCCCCAAAGAGATTCTCACTGATCAGGGCATGGCATTTATGTCATGTACGTTAAGCGAACTATACGAACTTCTGAGCATTAAAACAATTCGCACCAGTATCTATCACCCACAAACGGATGGCTTGGTGGAAATCCATGGATTGTAAGTTTGTTAAGGAGGACGCCAAAAATTGGGATAAATGGCTCGAGCCCCTGTTGTTCGCGGTGCAGGAGGTTCCACAAGCCTCCACGGGGTTTTCCCCATTTGAGCTTCTCTATGGTCCAGCCCCGCGGGGTGCTTGATGTCATTAGAGAGGCTTGGGAGGAGGGGCCTTCAAACAGCCGTAGTGAAATTCAGTATGTCATGGACCTCCAAGCAAAACTCCACACTCTGGGCCGGCTTTCTATGGAGAATTTGCTTCAGGATCAGGACCGACAAAGTCGGCTGTACAACAGGGGTACGAGAGCGCATCAATTTACACCGGGAGAGAAAGTGCTTGTATTTCTTCCAACATCTAGTTCTAAATTACTCGCCAAGTGGCAAGGACCTTTTGTGGTTCCAGCGAGTGGGAGATCTCGATTATGAGGTAAAGCGAACGGACCGAGGTAATTCGTGTCAAATATATTATCTCAATCTTTTAAAACGTTGGAATGAGGTGACCTCGGTGGTGTTAGCGGCAGCCGTTTCTGCAGAGGAAGATCTCAGACCAAAAGCAGCTGTCAAAACCAATCTGCTCGCTCTGGTCCCTGGGGGAGATCACCTCTCGCCACTGCAGCTCACTGAGTTAGCCAAGTTGCAAGCAGATTTTGCGGATGTGTTTTCACCCCTGCCTGGTCTCAAGAACCTTATACAGCACCACATCAAAATGATCCCAGGGGAAGGGGCGCACAGCTGCACTTATGGAACATCTGCGCGCTGTCCTGAGATCTCTGAGGGTGGCTGGACTCACGGCGAACCCGTGGAAGTGTGCAATTGGGCGTGTGGAGGTACAGTATCTGGGCTTCCACTTGGGTCATGGGCAGGTGCATCCCCAAATTGACAAGACTGCTGCGATTGCGGCTTGTCCGAGGCCCATGACCAAAAAGGAGGTGAGGCAGTTCCTGGGTCTAGCAGGATATTATGGGAGGTTTATCCCCAATTATTCGGACCTTACCAGCCCGCTGACTGACCTCACTAAAAAGGAAGTGCCAGACCTGGTCCAGTGGACGGAGTTGTGTCAGCAGGCTTTCACCCAGGTAAAGGCTGCTCTGTGTTGGGTCATGGGCAGGTGCATCCCCAAATTGACAAGACTGCTGCGATTGCGGCTTGCCCAAGTCCCAAGACCAAAAAGGAGGTGAGACAGTTCCTGCGGCAGGCGGAATATTATAGAAGGTTTATTCCTAATTATTCGGAGCTCACCAGCCCGCTGACTGATCTCACTAAAAAGGAAGCACCAGATCCGATCCAGTGGACGGAGCTGTACCAACAAGCCCTAACCAAGGTAAAGGCTGCCCTGAGAGGCGGTCCGCTCTTACACGCTCCTAACTTTGATCTCCTCTTTTTGTTGCAGACAGACGTGTCGGACAGGGGGCTGGGTGCAGTTCTGTCCCAGGTGGTAGGAGTAGAGGAGCGGCCGATGCTGTATCTGTGTTGAAAGCTCTCAAAGAGAGAGACCAGATACAGCACCATTGAAAAAGAGTGTTTGGCCATTCGGTGGTCCGTCCTCACCCTCCGGTATTACCTCCTGGGACGGGAATTCACTCTCTGTTCGGACCATGCGCCCGTCCAGTGGCTCCACCGTATGAAGGATACCAATGCGCGGATCACCCGTTGGTATCTAGCTTTACAGCCTTTTAAGTTCAAGGTGGTCCACAGGCCGGGGGCCCAGATGGCTGTGGCCGACTTCCTCTCTAGAAATGGGGGGAGGGGGGATGCAGGCCGTATGGAGCCCCGGCCTGAGTCGGGCGGTGGGGGTATGTGGCGAGGGGGCGTGGGAAGGCGAAAGGCTGCAGCGGGAGAAAGGGTTTGGAGACGAGCGGTGATAAGGATATCAAGTGAATAATGATTAACACCTGTCTGTAATTCCAGTGATTGGGGGAGAGACGAGAGATAAGCGCCCCGCAGACCTGGGAGAGGAAGTCCAGCTGCATCCGAGAGAGAGTCGGAGCAGAGTGCGTGTGTGTCCTTATGCAAGACTGTGGAGGCAGAGAGCCGAGCAACATTTTATTTTTGTTTTGGGGAGTAAATAAAGAGGTTTACCCGCCACCCCTGACTTCCTCGTCCTTCATCTCAAACGAACTGTATTACACTGAGATTAAGGTTACTGGGAACTTTTTAGGTTTAGCTCCAATAATATTGAGACTTACTTGATAAAAGGACTCCTTGCAGATGTAGCATATCACGATTTATGTTAAAGTGCATCTTATTCCAATACAACTTCAAAGGATGGGCTCAGACACAGATGTCTGGGCAAAGCCTCAGCTATTTACTGACCCTAGAACAGTCCATGGTGCTCCTGGGGATTCTGGGTTGAGGCATGCATCTTCATGGCCATATTTCCAGTAGTCTGCTGTCTAAACCAAAATAAAAATGTTTATTTACCAACCCTGCATGGGGCAAATAACCACTTCTTACAGTCTCTGTGCATTGTTCCTTTCGGAATACAAATATTGTCCATTGGCCTGCCCAGCACCCTTACTGTGTGACAGAAATGGCAGATGCACTGCCTGTAGTTCTGGTCAATGAGTTCTCATTTTTCAGCCAGATAATAGCCAGCCTTGCTACTTTAGCCTGTTTTCAACAGCCGGATAAGAGGGTGCTGAGCCAAACTTGTGTTGGAATCTTCAATCCTGACACTTTGTTAGCAAGCTTGTTTGTTTCCTCGGTCAGACTCAGCAATTACATCCACATCTCAAATAATACGAGACAGGCGTATTGCTCTGACTCACCATAGTTGTAGCACCAGTTTTTGATTAATACAATCATAACCATAATAAAAAAGACCACTATTTTCCCATACAGTATACCATTTTTTCCCCTCACACGATGTACCAAATATATATATATATAGATGTGATTATTTTAGTTCAAAAACTAAAATAGTATTCTCTTGTAAAACATACTTGTTAAAGCTTACAACAATGTCGAAATTAGGCACACAACACAAATATGACTTTACAAATATGACATTTACAGTTTTCTCATATGTTTTGCTTATATTCTTGCATATCTCAAACTATCACTGCATTAGCTTGGCCACATAATACACAAACCTGACAAAGTTTAACTTTGCCATTCCAAAGTTAAAGTAAAAATATTTTTTTTTTTTAAAGATTATACTTAATCATTTCTCACTTGTACAATAAAGGGGGTCATTGAATACGGAAGCCCTGAAACGCATGGTGGGAAAAAAAGGAAAGAAAACTTATGGTGGTGTAAAAAAAAAAAACGTATCTCGTTATTTCGACATAAATCGTTATTTCGAGATATTGAGTCGTTATTTTGACATAATAAGTCGTTATTTCGACATAATACCTCATTATTTTGAGATATTAAGTCGTTATTTCGACATAATAAATCGTTATTTCGAGATATTGAGTCGTTATTTCGACATAATAAGTCGTTATTTCGACATAATACCTCATTATTTTGAGATATTAAGTCGTTATTTCGACATAATAAGTCGTTATTTCGAAGTCGTTATGTCGACATAATAACTCGTTATTTCGAGATATTAAGTTGTTATTTCGACACAACAACTCGTTATTTCGAGATATTAAGTCGTTATTTTGACATAATAAGTCGTTATTTCGAGATATTAAGTCGTTATTTCGACATAATAACTCGTTATTTCGACATAAGTCTCATTATGTTAAGGTTTGTATTCATTTCAATATAAGCCACTAGAGGGCAGAATACGACTAAAGAATGCATTGTAGTTATGTTGACCTACTGGTAAGCACTTTTACAAGTTGGTGCTCCAAAATCCCAGCAGTTTATCATGGGATATAGAATCAAATATAATCTTTCTAAATGTGCAAAAAATCTTACTTGAATCGAATCGAAAACCTATGGATCGTGAATCGAATGGAATCGCTGTCTACCCAAAGATTCACAGCCCTAAAATTTAGCCTTCTCAAATCATCACGATTTACCTAAAATAAAATCTATAGATATAAAACAGTTCAAGCATATCACAATGTTAGTTTAAATGCGCGCTGTTAGATGCATATCCAAGCGTTTGTGCTGAGAGTTGAAGCTGAAGCGTGCTCTGCAGCACATGGAGGCGCCAGCGCGATTACTTGCATTTTTTTCTTGCAGTGGAAACAACTTAAAATACGCAGTTATTTTTGCTCGTAAAGGTAAGAGTAATATTTCATTCTAAACTGTAAAGGGTCTACTTTTATTTGTGTGCACTCACAATATCAACAAAACGTTGTGCTTTTATAAAATAAAGAAAACCAAGGCTTTCTGCCGTCTCAATTTTGAGCAGGAGCGCTTCACAATGATGAATTTAAACTCAGCGAATTGTCTCACATGCATGATAAATATAAATAGAAAGCTTTAAATTACTACTTTAAAACGAAATAGTTCAAATCGAAAATAGAAACTATTTAATTATGTAATCCCTGATGCATTTCTTTCTAAAGGCAAGTCCAATGAGGAGTCATTTTTTCCCACCATAATTGATGGATGTCTAAAACATAAAATTAATAAAAAGCCAAAAAAAGGGCCGATTATAATTTGCATGGGTTTTATTTTATAATTCTGTACAATTAAAAATAAAACACAAATTATAATGGCATATATGTAAAACTGTGTCCTATAATTCTGTAGCTGCTTATATTTTCTGATTTTTATGTTGCTCTGTTCTGATTCTGAATACCTTAATATTTAAAGAATTTGCTGCAAAGCAATTTGGTCTATGTGAACTATTCATTAGCCTATTTTTTTTAATCCATGCAGCAAATGCTTTAAAAATAGCTGGTTTGACCGTGTTCTTCTTAACCGCGGCTGGCTTGACCGCATTTGGCAACTGGAGATGGCACCGGAAGTGGCGCTGCGACCTGACGCTGCCAACAAATATACCAAGTCTAATAGATACACTAAGTTGACTGAAAGAGCAATACTAGCAATTAGCACAAAACTATATAGCTATGTAATTGCTAAATAAGTTAATTGCCTATTAGGCCATATACTGTATTATGAAAACTGAAATGCCTACAGTGTATTATGACAACATTTTACCTTAATATGTTGCATTTACGGGCTACATAAATTTCACCTCAATAAATGTTAACCTGGAATGAATGCAAATTCCCATGATAAACTGCTGGGATTTTGGAGCACCAACTTGTAAAAGTGCTTACCAGTAGGTCAACATAACTACAATGCATTCTTTAGTCGTATTCTGCCCTCTAGTGGCTTATATTGAAATGAATACAAACCTTAACATAATGAGACTTATGTCGAAATAACGAGTTATTATGTCGAAATAACGACTTAATATCTCGAAATAACGAGTTATTATGTCGAAATAACGACTTAATATCTCGAAATAACGAGTTATTATGTCGAAATAACGACTTAATATCTCGAAATAACGAGTTATTATGTCGAAATAACGACTTAATATCTCGAAATAACGAGTTATTATGTCGAAATAACGACTTAATATCTCGAAATAACGAGTTATTATGTCGAAATAACGACTTAATATCTCGAAATAACGAGTTATTATGTCGAAATAACGACTTAATATCTCGAAATAACGAGTTATTATGTCGAAATAACGACTTATTATCTCGAAATAACGAGTTATTATGTCGAAATAACGACTTATGTCGAAATAACGACTTAATATCTCGAAATAACGAGTTATTATGTCGAAATAACGAGTTATTATGTCGAAATAACGAGATACGTTTTATTTTTTATTTTTGTACACCACCATAAGTTTTCTTTCTTTTTTTTCCCACCATGCGGTTCGGGGCTTCCGTAATTGAAAGCCTCAGAGCAGTAAGCAGAATGCAATTAAATAACCTTAACACTTTTTAAGTGATCATTTCTCCCAGCTGCAGTAGTAGAGCAGTGTTGACTGTTCTCTGTATTTCACAGCATGCGTCATACATCCAGTTGCTTTCATTGCTATACATATAGGTTCTATAGAAAACAATTTCTCTATGTGAAAGTATAAGTAAAAATTATGCTGACAGACATCATTTATAATGCAAAAGTCGTTCCTTGATGCTTTCATTTAAAAAAAAATAATGAAACCACAACTGCATTAAAAGAGAATAATGGCATTTCATGAGTGCACACTTACCTTTAATAAATAGAGTAAAGGTTATGCGTATTTGGTACTGCTGTGTATATATACCTCTTTTATCTTGTTAATTGAGTTGATTACTGAATGTGCTCCTCTCATGTTAATTAGGTTAATTATCTGAACGTGCTCCTCCCGAACTTTGTTAATAAAACATAATATTTCAACACAGAAAGGACATTGAAAGTACTATAAATAACAGAGTAAAACATGCCAGCACCAACAATCAGATACATAGTTTTTCTGCATGAAGAGGCAGAAAAAATAACTAATCCATTGCCAGCCGCACCAACGGACCTTATACCCCACAAACCGGAAGAACTTCAGTGTGCATTGATCTGTAGCACATTCCCAAATATACCTCTTAGATACGGCAGTTAATGTTTTATGGAGTTAATAGTTTGTCGGTCTGTAGAGGTTGCGCAATTATGCATGGCCAGTCAGTGGGGATGATTAAAACTGGTTAAAGTGTCAGAAGACAAGGGAATTAACTGAAAGTCTTTAATTACACTTCATAGACATTAATCATGCCAAGAGTTGAGCCTCATTTCCTAGGCATTTTAATCTTCTTCACGGTGTGACTAGCTGTCCAGAGAGAGTCCTAGGTGCATGACAAAAACCTGAACTCGCAACTGCTCTTTATGTTCCATGCATTTTTGTCTTTTACTGTTTGAATCATACTCTTTTTGGTCTCACGAATACAACATAGAGTTTCAAAATAACCCTTATCAAGAGAAAACAGTGGCAAATGTGTTGCATGATTTCGACATAGATTGCAAGGAATGGCTCATACAAAATTGCAAGTTTATCATTCATGCACCATTTTGTCCCTGCAAACCAGTGTGACTTTTTTTTATTCTGAACTTCAAAAAGGACAAACAAACACCATAAAGCATGATATAAATGCCCCATACAACTTGTGCACGATATTTCA